CTCATATTTGACAAGTTTGCTTTCATTTTACTCCAGCATATTTGAGGCAGTTGAAAGTGGTAAGGTTTGTGATGTGTACTTTGACTTTAGTAAAGCTTTTGATACAGTGCCACATGAAAGATTTATTAAAAAGATAGTCTCACGGTATTGGAGGTGCTATATTAAGTTGGATTAGGGCATGGCTATGCTAAAGAAAGAGTATTAATGGAGTTAAGTCAGAGTGGGGAAACTTTTGTACGTGAAGAGCTTCCAAGGCTCTGTTCAGGGACCTCTCTTGTTTACAATAAATATAAATGATTTACATTGAGGTTTGATCGGTATTATTGGTATGTTTACAGATGATACGAGAAGTATTGGTATGTTTACAGATGATACGAGAAGTATTGGTATGTTTACAGATGATACGAGAAGTATTGGTATGTTTACAGATGATACGAGAAGTATTGGTATGTTTACAGATGATACGAGAAGTATTGGTATGTTTACAGATGATACGAGAAGTATTGGTATGTTTACAGATGATACGAGAAGTATTGGTATGTTTACAGATGATACGAGAAGTATTGGTATGTTTACAGATGATACGAGAAGTATTGGTATGTTTACAGATGATACGAGAAGTATTGGTATGTTTACAGATGATACGAGAAGTATTGGTATGTTTACAGATGATACGAGAAGTGGGTGGGAGATAAACTCGGAAGAAAACTTTAAAACCGTCCAAGACTCCAGGACGACCAAGATAGGCTTTTGAAATGGTTGAAAGATTGGCAGATGCAGTTTAACACTGACGAATGTAAGGTTCTGAGACTAGGTAATTATGAAAGCTACAAGATACCAGCTGAATGGTGTTTAAATTGAAGAATTTGCCTGCGAAAAAAGCTGGGAGTGATGATAAGGAGTTTAAAGCAAAAATAATTTTATGCCTGAAGGTTCAAAATATAGAAAGTAAGATACTGGGATTAGTATCTAGAAGCGCTAATAATAAGACACCTGGTGTTGTTCTTAAGCTATATCTTGTTCTTCTTAAGCTATATCTTGTTCTTCTTAAGCTATATCTTGTTCTTCTTAAGCTATATCTTGTTCTTCTTAAGCTATATCTTGTTCTTCTTAAGCTATATCTTGTTCTTCTTAAGCCTCATTTAGAGTATACAGTCGCCGTTTAGAGTATACAGTCGCCGTTTAGAGTATACAGTCGCCGTTTAGAGTATACAGTCGCCGTTTAGAGTATACAGTCGCCGTTTAGAGTATACAGTCGCCGTTTAGAGTATACAGTTCAGTTTTGGTCAGGCATAAATTCTTCCCCTTTACGGTCGAATGGCCATAAATGCAATAGACCGCGTTCAGCGCAGGATGACAATTAGTCCTACAAATTAGTAACCTTCCATATAATTTGTGAAATACACTATCGGGTAATATGAGCTTGGTACTGCTGGATTGTTTCAAGCGTAGGTCAGACAAGCACATGTATGAACTTTGGAGGATATAGATAGCAAGTGTCACGTATGGGTCTATAGATAGCAGCTGTCACGTATGGGGTCTATAGATAGCAGTTGTCACGTATGGGGTCTATAGATAGCAGCTGTCACGTATGGGGTCTATAGATAGCAGTTGTCACGTATGGGGTCTATAGATAGCAGTTGTCACGTATGGGGTCTATAGATAGCAGTTGTCACGTATGGGGTCTATAGATAGCAGTTGTCACGTATGGGGTCTATAGATAGCAGTTGTCACGTATGGGGTCTATAGATAGCAGTTGTCACGTATGGGGTCTATAGATAGCAGCTGTCACGTATGGGGTCTATAGATAGCAGCTGTCACGTATGGGGTCTATAGATAGCAGTTGTCACGTATGGGGTCTATAGATAGCAGTTGTCACGTATGGGGTCTATAGATAGCAGCTGTCACGTATGGGGTCTATAGATAGCAGCTGTCACGTATGGGGTCTATAGATAGCAGTTGTCACCTATGGGTCTATAGATAGCAACTGTCACGTATGGGGTCTATAGATAGCAGTTGTCACGTATGGGGTCTATAGATAGCAACTGTCACGTATGGGGTCTATAGATAGCAGTTGTCACGTATGGGGTCTATAGATAGCAGTTGTCACGTATGGGTCTATAGATACCAGCTGTCACGTATGGGGTCTATAGATAGCAACTGTCACGTATGGGGTCTATTGATAGCAGTTGTCACCTATGGGTCTATAGATAGCAACTGTCACGTATGGGTCTATAGATAGCAGTTGTCCCGTATGGGGTCTATAGATAGCAGTTGTCACGTATGGGGTCTATAGATAGCAGTTGTCACGTATGGGGTCTATAGATAGCAGCTGTCACGTATGGGTCTATAGATAGCAGCTGTCACGTATGGGGTCTATAGATAGCAGCTGTCACGTATGGGGTCTATAGATAGCAGTTGTCCCGTATGGGGTCTATTGATAGCAGTTGTCACGTATGGGGTCTATAGATAGCAGTTGTCACGTATGGGGTCTATAGATAGCAGTTGTCACGTATGGGGTCTATAGATAGCAGTTGTCACGTATGGGGTCTATAGATAGCAAGTGTCACGTATGGGGTCTATAGATAGCAACTGTCACGTATGGGGTCTATTGATAGCAGTTGTCACCTATGGGTCTATAGATAGCAACTGTCACGTATGGGGTCTATAGATAGCAGTTGTCCCGTATGGGGTCTATTGATAGCAGCTGTCACGTATGGGGTCTATAGATAGCAGTTGTCACGTATGGGGTCTATAGATAGCAGTTGTCACGTATGGGGTCTATAGATAGCAGCTGTCACGTATGGGGTCTATAGATAGCAGCTGTCACGTATGGGGTCTATAGATAGCAGCTGTCACGTATGGGGTCTATAGATAGCAGCTGTCACGTATGGGGTCTATAGATAGCAGCTGTCACGTATGGGGTCTATAGATAGCAGCTGTCACGTATGGGGTCTATAGATAGCAGCTGTCACGTATGGGGTCTATAGATAGCAGCTGTCACGTATGGGGTCTATAGATAGCAGCTGTCACGTATGGGGTCTATAGATAGCAGCTGTCACGTATGGGGTCTATAGATAGCAGCTGTCACGTATGGGGTCTATAGATAGCAGTTGTCACGTATGGGGTCTATAGATAGCAGTTGTCACGTATGGGGTCTATAGATAGCAGCTGTCACGTATGGGGTCTATAGACCTTCTGATCTTTATAATGTTCTTAAACAGGATGCATAAAGACAAAGAATTAAACTTGGATAATTGACATAACGACTAGAGAAAGTTAAGATGGGAAGAGGTTCGTTGATCTGCAACACGTTAGCAAGTAATGTGAACAACCAGGCTTTTTGAACACTTGTCTTCATGTAATGTGATGATAACTAGGGTTGTTGAACACCTGTCTTCATGTAATGTGATGATTACTAGGCTTGTTGAACACTTGTCTTCATGTAATGTGATGATAACTAGGGTTGTTGAACACCTGTCTTCATGTAATGTGATGATAACTAGGGTTGTTGAACCTGTCTTCATGTAATGTGATGATAACTAGGCTTGTTGAACACCTGTCTTCATGTAATGTGATGATAACTAGGGTTGTTGAACACCTGTCTTCATGTAATGTGATGATAACTAGGCTTGTTGAACACCTGTCTTCATGTAATGTGATGATAACTAGGGTTGTTGAACACCTGTCTTCATGTAATGTGATGATTACTAGGCTTGTTGAACACCTGTCTTCATGTAATGTGATGATAACTAGGCTTGTTGAACACCTGTCTTCATGTAATGTGATGATTACTAGGCTTGTTGAACACCTGTCTTCATGTAATGTGATGATAACTAGGGTTGTTGAACACCTGTCTTCATGTAATGTGATGATAACTAGGCTTGTTGAACACCTGTCTTCATGTAATGTGATGATAACTAGGGTTGTTGAACACCTGTTTTCATGTAATGTGATGATAACTAGGGTTGTTGAACACCTGTCTTCATTCTAATGCTTCTCCTCCAACGCCTCGCCCTCATCCCTTCTCCACTAAATCATTGTCATGATTTCATCATGATTTCATCATGAGATTTCATCTCATCCCTCTCTTAAGCCACCACTCGCCCACACCCGCGGCACGCCCACACCGGCAGCACGCCCACACCCGCGGCACGACCACACCGGCAGCACGCCCACACCGGCAGCACGCCCACACCCGCGGCACGACCACACCGGCAGCACGCCCACACCGGCAGCACGCCCACACCCGCGGCACGCCCACACCGGCAGCACGCCCACACCCGCGGCACGACCACACCGGTAGCACGCCCATACCCGCGGCACGCCCACACCAGCGGCACGCCCACACCGGCAGCACGCCCACACCGGCAGCACGCCCACACCCGCGGCACGCCCACACCCGCGGCACGACCACACCGGCAGCACGCCCACACGCGCGGCACGCCCACACCGGCAGCACGCCCACACCGGCAGCACGCCCACACCCGCGGCACGACCACACCGGCAGCACGCCCATACCCGCGGCACGCCCACACCAGCGGCACGCCCACACCGGCAGCACGCCCACACCGGCAGCACGCCCACACCCGCGGCACGCCCACACCCGCGGCACGACCACACCGGCAGCACGCCCACACCCGCGGCACGCCCACACCCGCGGCACGCCCACACCGGCAGCACGCCCACACCCGCGGCACGCCCACACCCACGGCACGCCCACACCCGCGGCACGACCACACCGGCAGCACGCCCACACCGGCAGCACGCCCACACCCGCAGCACGCCCACACCGGCAGCACGCCCACACCGGCAGCACGCCCACACCGGCAGCACGCCCACACCGGCAGCACGCCCACACCGGCAGCACGCCCACACCCGCGGCACGCCCACACCGGCAGCACGCCCACACCGGCAGCACGCCCACACCGGCAGCACGCCCACACCGGCAGCACGCCCACACCCGCGGCACGCCCACACCACCCTTCCATTGGGGAAGACTAGTGCAGCGGGTCGGGTCGAGCTTCCGCCCAACCCATAACCCCAGGCAGCCGCCACCCACGACTTCCGTGGGCCTGATTCGGCGCCGCGGGGTTACCTTGGGCCTGATTCGGCGCCGCGGGGTTACCTTGGGCCTGATTCGGCACCGCGGGGTTACCTTGGGCCTGATTCGGCGCCGCGGGATTACCTTGGGCCTGATTCGGCGCCGCGGGATTACCTTGGGCCTGATTCGGCGCCGCGGGATTACCTTGGGCCTGATTCGGCGCCGCGGGATTACCTTGGGCCTGATTCAGCACCGCGGGGTTACCTGGGCCTGATTCGGCGCCGCGGGATTACCCTGGGCCTGATTCGGCGCCGCGGGGTTACCCTGGGCCTGATTCGGCGCCGCGGGATTACCTTGAGCCTGATTCGGCGCCGCGGGATTACCTTGGGCCTGATTCGGCGCCGCGGGATTACCTTGGGCCTGATTCGGCGCCGCGGGATTACCTTGGGCCTGATTCGGCGCCGCGGGATTACCTTGGCCTGATTCGGCGCCGCGGGATTACCTTGGGCCTGATTCGGCGCCGCGGGATTACCTTGGGCCTGATTCGGCGCCGCGGGATTACCTTGGGCCTGATTCGGCGCCGCGGGATTACCTTGGGCCTGATTCGGCGCCGCGGGATTACCTTGGGCCTGATTCGGCGCCGCGGGATTACCTTGGGCCTGATTCGGCGCCGCGGGATTACCTTGGGCCTGATTCGGCGCCGCGGGATTACCTTGGGCCTGATTCGGCGCCGCGGGATTACCTTGGGCCTGATTCGGCGCCGCGGGATTACCTTGGGCCTGATTCGGCGCCGCGGGATTACCTTGGGCCTGATTCGGCGCCGCGGGATTACCTTGGGCCTGATTCGGCGCCGCGGGATTACCTTGGGCCTGATTCGGCGCCGCGGGATTACCTTGGGCCTGATTCGGCGCCGCGGGATTACCTTGGGCCTGATTCGGCGCCGCGGGATTACCTTGGGCCTGATTCGGCGCCGCGGGATTACCTTGGGCCTGATTCGGCGCCGCGGGATTACCTTGGGCCTGATTCGGCGCCGCGGGATTACCTTGGGCCTGATTCGGCGCCGCGGGATCACCTTGGGCCTGATTCGGCGCCGCGGGATCACCTTGGGCCTGATTCGGCGCCGCGGGATCACCTTGGGCCTGATTCGGCGCCGCGGGATCACCTTGGGCCTGATTCGGCGCCGCGGGATCACCTTGGGCCTGATTCGGCGCCGCGGGATCACCTTGGGCCTGATTCGGCGCCGCGGGATCACCTTGGGCCTGATTCGGCGCCGCGGGGTCACCTTGGGCCTGATTCGGCGCCGCGGGGTCACCTTGGGCCTGATTCGGCGCCGCGGGATTACCTTGGGCCTGATTCGGCGCCGCGGGATTACCTTGGGCCTGATTCGGCGCCGCGGGGTCACCTTGGGCCTGATTCGGCGCCGCGGGGTCACCTTGGGCCTGATTCGGCGCCGCGGGGTCACCTTGGGCCTGATTCGGCGCCGCGGGGTTACCTTGGGCCTGATTCGGCGCCGCGGGGTTACCTTGGGCCTGATTCGGCGCCGCGGGGTTACCTTGGGCCTGATTCGGCGCCGCCGTGGGCCTGATTCGGCGCCGCCGTGGGCCTGATTCGGCGCCGCCGTGGGCCTGATTCGGCGCCGCGGGTTCCGTGCCAGTCAGGCCTGAGGGCTTCAGGTGGTTATGGCGGGAGTTTCATATGACGCGCCAGAATGACAAGTGACATGCGCCTTGCGTTCCTAAATGTTGCTTACCGTTGTGTTGCTGCCAGACACTTTGTTCCCAGAGAACTAAGTCAGTGTTACTTTCGTCCTGGTGAACCTTACTGTGAAACTTTACGGTGTTATAGGGGAACTATTGTCACAATGCCGTAGGAAAATTAATGAAACTGTTTTTCATTAATAGAATTTTGATGAAATTTTTGATTAACAAATTTTGTTAGATTCAAAACTAAAAGTAACCGATTGAGATTTTAATGGACATACATATTTCAAAGCGCTGAAACAATACAAAAAATGCATTTCTCATGAACTTATTTATAAACTAACACCAATTTAGACCCAGCCAGGGTCTGTGTAACCGATTTTAAACGATGCGGTGGGCGCCTCCACCTGACCACCTGGCTCAGGTCATTGTATATACACGCCACACTAATGCTTATCTTCATTACATTCACAAGGGAGACATCTCCCGTCATGCAGGGTGCATTCGCACCTCCACAGATCTCCAGTATCAGCTCTAGATACTGGGAATGGCTTAAAAGGGCCACCACTTACGGGCTATTCATGCCCGTGCCACCTTTTGGGTGGCTTAATCTTCATCAATCAATCAATCAGCTTATCTTCGCACCTTGTCTCAGATTTTACTAAATCATGCCTCACACGTTTAATTGAATTCTATGACCTGGCACGAAAGAGAAGGGTGGGCAGATTGCATTTTGTTTCGCTGTCAGAAAGACTTTGACACAGTACCCCATGAAAGGTTGTTACAAAAGTTGGAGCAACAGGCAGGAGTAAAAGGTAAGATGCTCCGGTGGATAAGGGAGTATCTAAGCAACAGGAAACATTACGGGCTATTTATGCCCGTGCAACCTCTTGGGTAGCTTAATCTTCATCACTCAACAGGAAACAACGAGTAACTGTGAGAAGAAATCAGAGTAGCGAGATGTCCCCTGCGGAGTCCCACAGGGCTCTGTACTTGGACCCATCCTGTTTCTAATATAAACGATCTGAAAGGGTGTATAGACTCATTCTTCTCAGAGCGTTTGCAAACGATGGAAGAAAAGTATGGAACGATGAAAAGGATAAAGTCAGAACAAGAAAGACTTTAAGACGACTTGGAGAAACTGGAGGAATGGTGGTCTTGAAAATGGCTACTAGAGTTTAACTCGGGTAAGTGTAAAGTAATGAAATTAGGCGGCGATAGCAGGAGGCTGAACACAAGGTACCATCTGGGACATAAAATTCTTCACGAAAAACATAGAAAGATCTGGGGGGGGGGGGTGATGTCACACCGAACCTGTCCCCAGGAGCCCACATCAAAAGCATTTCATCAGCGGTATATGCCACCATAATAACCGCCTTTAGAAATTTGTGTAAGGAAACACAGGGAACCTTGAACAACGTATGTCAGACCAATCATGAGGTATGAGGCTCCGGTATAGATACCATACCTAGTCAAACACCAGACGATATTAGGGAAAGTTCAGGGTCATACAACCAGACGGGTCCAAATTCAGAGCCGAGAAATATGAATTACGAGGAATGGTTGATGTAATTCCACCTCACGACACCGAAAAGTAGGTAAGATATGATGTACTAATGACAAAAACAGGAACCTTTTTAAGCACCAACATATATACAACACCTACCAACATAGGATTATGCCTGAACGGTAGGAGTGAGTGCCCCCAAAGACACAAAGCCAGTGTTCTCAATGCTTATATTCGTTGAGCGTTTACACACTGCTCCGAATGGAGTAACGTGAGTAGAGAGTTTGAAAGAGTAACTCGTGTATTGGTGAACAATGGATATAACAACACGGAAATAAACACCGCTATAAGAAGACACCTGGACCGATGGTACAATCCTGAACCTAGTACAGAAACAACAACACCTCCATTTACATTACAAATCAACTATGCACAGTGAACATAAAGAAGAAAGAATAATGAATTAATCCGTAAAGGAGTAAAAAGCACTATTCCTAACCAAAACATAGACCAAATCATATAATATAAAACCAAGAAGACTATCGACCTCCTTATAAAAAACAGCCCGAAGTCGACGGAGAACCCTTTACAGCAGTCAAGCGTTGTATACATGTACTCCTCCAACCGTCAATCTAAGTACATATGTATGACGTCGACCAAGCTGACGAGGCGTTTGACCTGTCATCTTCAATCCGGTGCCCCCAGGAATCACATGAGACAAGCCCATGACATCACCTTAACAAGAGAAATGTTGAATAAATACACTTGTATAATAGACAAAATCCAAGATGTAAGAAGATTACAAATTCTTGAAGCAATCAGCATAAAAATAGAGCAACCCACCATGAACACCCAAATTACAGAACTATTCACTGTACCCACCATGAGAGTAAGGACAAGACCAGAACATAACGACGTCAACACAGAAGACACAGCTCAACATAATAGGCCTATTACACCTGATTAATCTTTGTATGTCCCCCTATTTTCCCCTTGCCTATTGCCTTGTATATAATATATATAATATATAATTATATATATATATAATTATATATATAATATATATATAATATATATATAATATATATATAATATATATATAATATATATATAATATATATATGTCGTACCTAGTAGCCAGAACGCACTTCTCAGCCTACTATGCAAGGCCCGATTTGCCTAATAAGCCAAGTTTTCATGAATTAATTGTTTTTCGACTAATTAACCTACCTAACCTAACCTAACTTTTTCGGCTACCTAACCTAACCAAACCTATAAAGATAGGTTAGGTTAGGTTAGGTAGGGTTGGTTAGGTTCGGTCATATATCTACGTTAATTTTAACTCCAATAAAAAAAATTGACATCATACATAATGAAATGGGTAGCTTTATCATTTCATAAGAAAAAAAATTAGAGAAAATATATTAATTCAGGAAAACTTGGCTTATTAGGCAAATCGGGCCTTGCATAGTAGGCTGAGAAGTGCGTTCTGGCTACTAGGTACGATATATATATATATTATATATATATATATATATATATATATATATATATATATATATATATATATATATATATATATATAATATGTAATAATAATGACGGTTGCATAGCCGTAATGAAGGCTATGCATTATATATATGTTTAAAAACAACGTTAACAACTAAAAAAAATTTTTATTGACAAAAGAATTACATAAATAATAATTTGATTTGGATGCCTCAATCAGCGGCCGCTGTCAACCTTTACTGAGAGTAATGAGTGTACTGGTTGTCCATCACGGGATGGTGGTGGTGGTGGTGAGTCTTCACTCTCCCGTCTCCTGGGGTCTGTCCAGTACTGTACCCAGCCTTCCCACCGGCCTCCTGCTTCACCTCTTCATTATCGTCATCTCTCTCCCACGTCCTCTCTCTCTCTCTCTCTCTCTCCCACGTCCTCTCTCTCTCTCTCTCTCTCTCTCTCTCTCTCTCTCTCTCTCTCTCTCTCTCTCTCTCTCTACGGCTCTTCTCCCACGCCCACAACAAAAAACCGGTTTAACCGACAATAGATGTCGTCCCCCTCGTTATCGCTTTTAATCCGGACACCTGGTTAGGTAATCCGGATCTTGCTAGGGATAATCTTCCCTCTTGTGGCTCCACAATCCGGTTGCGGGAAGCAACTCTGCGCCGCGTGCGGTCGAGGACCGCCGGACCCTTGGTAACTGAATCCCACTTTCCTTGGCGGTAACCGAACCATTGTCCTGCTATTTTTGCTCTCCCAGCCGTGGTGGAGGAAGGGTGCGTCATGGAGCGCTCTTGAAAGTTGTGAACTTGTGAACCAGTGAGTAATGGAGGATGAAGAATGAGGTTCCAGCCCTTTTGAGGTATCAATGACCAGCAGAAACCAACGGAAAACTTTGCGCAGAGAGTTAAGTGATAGTGACAGTGATGGACGAGTGAAGAGTGTTGTGATCGACGGCGGACGGATCCTGGGTTACAAAGTTCTATACAAACTCAGCAGGAAATTCTCACCGGAAGGAAGCAGCAGGACCACATATAGCAAGAGGCACAGATTAATGGAAGGAAGCAACAGGACCACATATAGCAAGAGGCACAGATTAATGGAAGGAAGCAACAGGACCACATATAGCAAGAGGCACAGATTAATGGAAGGAAGCAGCAGGACCACATATAGCAAGAGGCACAGATTAATGGAAGGAAGCAACAGGACCACATATAGCAAGAGGCACAGATTAATGGAAGGAAGCAACAGGACCACATATAGCAAGAGGCACAGATTAATGGAAGGAAGCAACAGGACCACATATAGCAAGAGGCACAGATTAATGGAAGGAAGCAACAGGACCACATATAGCAAGAGGCACAGATTAATGGAAGGAAGCAACAGGACCACATATAGCAAGAGGCACAGATTAATGGAAGGAAGCAACAGGACCGCATATAGCAAGAGGCACAGATTAATGGAAGGAAGCAACAGGACCACATATAGCAAGAGGCACAGATTAATGGAAGGAAGCAGCAGGACCACATATAGCAAGAGGCACAGATTAATGGAAGGAAAGCAACAGGACCACATATAGCAAGAGGCACAGATAATGGAAGGAAGCAGCAGGACCACATATAGCAAGAGGCACAGATTAATGGAAGGAAGCAACAGGACCACATATAGCAAGAGGCACAGATTAATGGAAGGAAGCAGCAGGACCACATATAGCAAGAGGCACAGATTAATGGAAGGAAGCAACAGGACCACATATAGCAAGAGGCACAGATTAATGGAAGGAAGCAACAGGACCACATATAGCAAGAGGCACAGATTAATGGAAGGAAGCGGCTGCTATTTGCCTCAACACGTCACCTAACATTTCATCAGAAGCTGGAGTGGACCGTTCAGTTGGCCAAAGAATTTGGTGAATATAAACCATTATTTAAGGAAGGTGTTCACCGGCCCTACATAACGGTTGGGACAGGAGAGGCAGTGGAACACTTAACGACTGACGGATTTAGGAATATTGTTCTGGTTACTCCTGAAGTGGGAATAATTTACACTAAAGTCATTGTTTTTAAGTATCTGACATACTTGGAGACTGAATTTCTTCATCTCAACAATGATAGTGTTGTGTGGGCTAAGAGGAACATTGTACGTGGTGAACAACAAAGCCAGATTGTTGCCTTATTAAAGGGTGAGGCTCCGAAAGACTGTTTGTGCAAGGAGTTTAATATAGGAAAATGGCAAAATATATTAAGGAGCCTGTATTATGCATGAAGTGTTCTCGTTGGGGACATATGGCTTGGAAATGCCAGTTTGACCCCAGATGTCGGTATTCTTGTAAGAAGCATGACTCGCGACATTGTAGAGTCAGGATTGACAGAGAAAAAATGCCATCTTCCCGCAATTGTCGAGGCATCCACAATGCTGGTTCCTGTCTGTCCCATGAAGCCCCGTGTGAAAGATTCCAAGCTGGCACCCATAAGCAGGATAAACGAGGCTACGAAGGAAGGTAAGATCTTCCAGCAGGAACAAGGAAGAAACAGTGGAAAGACAACGATTGCTTCTGTGACCAAAATTGGGAGACAGGCACGGCGACGACTAAGGCTAGCCTGGTGGCAGGAGGACACCAAGCCAATAAAGTTGTGACACGAAGCCTCATCACCACTGGGCCTCGTGGTGGTGAGGTGCAGGGCGGCGTCGTGGACTCTGCGGTCGGTACACAGACCTTGGAATCCCTCAAAAAGTTGGACAAGAGGATTGAAACTCTAGAAATATTAGCTATGGCAAACAGATGGGGGTGTAGTGGGGGGAGTAGTGGGGGAGAGTAGTGGGGGGGAGAGTAGTGGGGGAGAGTAGTGGGGAGAGTAGTGGGAAGAGTAGTGGGGGAGGGGGAAGAAAGTAAGGAAGAGGATGGAGTATCACAGATGGAAGAGTCTCAGGAACATGAACTGTCCACTAATTATGGCAATGTAGGGAGCCGGTCGGCCGAGCGGACAGCACGCTGGACTTGTGATCCTGTGGTCCCGGGTTCGATCCCGGGCGCCGGCGAGAAACAATGGGCAGAGTTTCTTTCACCCTATGTCCCTGTTACCTAGCAGTAAAATAGGTACCTGGGTGTTAGTCAGCTGTCACGGGCTGCTTCCTGGGGGTGGAGGCCTGGTCGAGGACCGGGCCGCGGGGACACTAAAAAGCCCCGAAATCATCTCAAGATAACCTGTTGACGGAGAAGCTCAGGAAAAATGGTTTACAAAAATAGAATTGGAAGACATTATGAATAGTTATCTGTGATGGTAGTAGTCGGTGTACAGGTGCTAAACGAGAATAAATTTCTAAATATTGGGAGTCTGTGACTAAGGAGATATTGCTTCTCAATAACTTAAAATATGGGGAGGGTGTGGACAAGGCGATGTCAATTATCAATGAATTGGCAAACCTCAGCAAAGTTCATTGAATTGGAACATAGAGGAATAAATTTCTGCATCTACTTAGTATTCCTCCCATGTTAGTGTTAATTGTTAATCATGCTTCGTAACTTTGGAACATAAGGATCTTATTATGCTTTCACATATATTATTAATTTCTTCCCACCATTTGAAGTGAGAAGGTTACTTCATTAGCTCCCTCGCCTCTCATTAGTCTAATCGCCGAAGCTTCGTTTAACTCTGAAATTCTATCCCCCAACACTCTGTAAGTTCAATCATATCTTTATCTCAGTAATAGTATACCTTGGGTCATGAGAATAATCTGGGGATTGTTCTCATGGCTTCATTGAACCATCACCAACTTGTTTAGTCTTCCTTCACCAACACAAGACATGACAGGAGCAGAATAATCAATAAGAGATCCCCCAGTATGTCATGTGATTACCATTGGAATGTGAAGTACAGAATATGATTAATAATTGTGTACTGTATGGGTTTGTGAGCCCCTTGAGGGACCTTGTGAGCCCCTTGAGGGACCTTGTGAGCCCCTTGAGGGACCTTGTGAGCCCCTTGAGGGACCTTGTGAGCCCCTTGAGGGACCTTGTATAGACGAGGGTAGAAATAGTCTAAGCTTTTGATTGTTGCCGCCGGAGGCAGCTAGTTTATTGTGCACCCCATACCCATCCTGTGAGCGGTAGCGCAAAAACATTACAGAGGGCACAAAAGGTCTTTATCAGACCTCATCTTAGATTATTACTTAAACAATTTCATCTATCCTTCACACCTTATAGTTACAATGTCAGCTAGTTATAGAGAAAGTGCTATTTCAAGACTATATATTTACAGTAAGTCATCATACATTAATGGTACGTCTTATCGCTAATACATAATAGTTTGGCCAATGGGGATATTACAGAGTCATAGGGGAGCTTCTGTTTATTATTAGTCCTCACAATACACTATTTGTTTCTGAATCTCGTATGTCGTTCATCTACTGGAAGCAAAATGTGGATAAAGTGCAAGGATTTCAGGTAATTTTTTCGATGGCAATAAGATAGGTTGCCATATCATACAGAGTGAGCTTAGATTTATCTCTAAATGGCTCAATTTTACTACAATCCCAGATATAGTGTTCGAGTGTGTGTCCCTGTCTTTGTCCACACACTTTACTTCATCTAGATCCCTATACTGCTACTATCTATCCTTTTGAGATGAACTTTCTTTACCCAATAAACTTACCTGAACACCGTCCTACACAGTGTCCACATAAACGTTTTTTTTTCTAGTTAAAAGAGTAGTAAGCTGGCTTGGTGAGACCAGTGGCCCGGCCCTTGCTGGTGTGGGGGCCCTGGTGGCCCGGGCCTTGCTGGTGTGGGGGCCCTGGTGGCCCGGTCCTTGCTGGTGTGGGGGGCCGTGGTGGCCCGGGCCTTGCTGGTGTGGGGGGCCGTGGTGGCCCGGGCCTTGCTGGTGTGAGGGGCCGTGGTGGCCCGGGCCTTGCTGGTGTGGGGGGCCGTGGTGGCCCGGGCCTTGCTGGTGTGGGGGGCCGTGGTGGCCCGGGCCTTGCTGGTGTGGGGGGCCGTGGTGGCCCGGGCCTTGCTGGTGTGGGGGGCCGTGGTGGCCCGGGCCTTGCTGGTGTGGGGGGCCGTGGTGGCCCGGGCCTTGCTGGTGTGGGGGGCCGTGGTGGCCCGGGCCTTGCTGGTGTGGGGGGCCGTGGTGGCCCGGGCCTTGCTGGTGTGGGGGGCCGTGGTGGCCCGGGCCTTGCTGGTGTGGGGGGCCGTGGTGGCCCGGGCCTTGCTGGTGTGGGGGGCCGTGGTGGCCCGGGCCTTGCTGGTGTGGGGGGCCGTGGTGGCCCGGGCCTTGCTGGTGTGGGGGGCCGTGGTGGCCCGGGCCTTGCTGGTGTGGGGGTCCCCGCCAAAGGGAGCTATACCAGGTGGACCCTCCGGTGCCTTCATTAGTCCCTCTAAAGAGGGCAGGGGGGGTGGGGGAGAAGGGGGGGATGAAGTTATCTTGAGAGGATTTCGGGGCTTAGCATCCTCGCGGCCCGGTCCTCGATCAAGCCTCCTTTTTGTTACACCCCCCCCCCCAGGAAGCAGCTCGTAGCAACTGTCTAACTCCCAGTTACCTATTTACTGCTAGGTGACCAGGGGCATCAGGGTGAAAGAAACTCTGCTCATTTGTTTCCGCCTCCACCAGGGATCGAACCCGGAACCTCAGGACTACGAATCGGAAGCGCTGTCCACTCAGCTGCCTGCAGCCTTTGTGGGGGGGGGGGGGTTCATGCCTAGTGTCAGGGCTGCCAGAGGCTTGTGTTCAGCTGAACACGGCACCCATCTCAACCCTCCAGAAACAGTTCAAGGATTACAGTGATGAAC